TAGGTTTATTTCACGCGATGGAGAAACGGGTAAGGCGAAATTTTGATTTTGAATGTTATTTTGGTAAGATAATTTTTTTGGCTAATTAAGATGGTGTTGTTAGGGCTTAGGACTGATTCGGATAAATATTTCACTATTTCTTTGATAATTGTTGTTCTATTTGAGATTATGGTTGCAATATTTGGTAACTGAGTTTTACTATGATATTTCGTCAGGATGGTGTGTATAGGAAAAAAAATTGTCTGTGAGGAAGGGGGGCTGTTGCGATTTTCCTGCTAGTTTATATGGGCATTTTTACGGGTACATTTTTCCAGTGTAGTATACTTATATTTATTAATCTTATACCCATATTATTTTATATTGTATGCTCCATTTATTTGAAAATACCTTGAAATTGTTTGTATATACTATGACTACTCATATATGAACCTTATTACTTATTTTATGTGCTTATATATTGGATAATGTTAAAATTTTGTAGTTGTGCAATGGTGTCTGCCGAAAGTAATGAAAATTAGGAATGATTTTGCTGGAGGTTAAGGTTTGTTCTTCATGGTGATGGTGATAATTGGATGTCTATGATGAACCCATTAACTCGGTGTCAACCCATGATATGGATGTGACGCATAACTACTTGCAGAAAAAGATAATTCTTCCCACATCATCTGCCCAACCAAGTTGGCCAAAGAAAATACAGTTTGAATCACAATATGTGAAACAAATTAAATATACTTGTTGTGGTCAACTAGGACACAACCGACGAAGTTACAAGAAGGATTTAGCGTAGATATTTTTGACGTGTTTTTGTGGCAGAAATTTTCTTTTGTTTTTGGAAGATTGTACATTGGCCATAGATTTATGTACGGAACCACTATTGAATGATCGAAAATTTTGATAATATTCCTTTGTATATTACTGGACGTATACAACTATTATGTTGGGGTACATATCAATCCAATCTCATTCTTTCAAAGTAGAAAACAAGAGTATGTGAATTTGAAAAGAAAGTATGTTACAGGTTATTGTAATTATATAAAATATGACCGAAATAAAAGTTATTAAAAATGATAATACATTACATTGTAATTTTTTTATTAAATTTTATGTAATATTTGATGTTCTTTATGTCCCCTAAATACTCGTTACGATATAACATGACTTAAAGTGTACCCCTATCGTTTATCTGAAACTGTATTAACATAAATCAAATTTATTTATGAGGATATTTAACATTTTTAAGGAGTGGCTATAATGAAAATACGAGTATGATGTGACGTTTAGGGAGTATATTTATTAGTATCATATGTATACATATCCGAGTAAAAGTGTGCGCCCTTGTGTATAAAAGTATTTGTATTCGTACACACAAGTATAATTATTGTAACCATGGGTATTTTAACTATCTATCCAGAATTTGTAATTGATTGTTATTGGATCAAACAATTACTACTTGATTACATCACACTCACTTTCTTAGAAGTTAGCGTGCATTAGCCGATATTTCTAAAGTGACTTATAAGACCCCTCATTCATGTATTCAAGGGTGGATGTGAATGTCACTTAAGATATATATGATATAACATATCATGTGGTAAAACATAATAGTAGATATTTTGAAGTTAGTGCATAACTGATGATGCATGATGTTTTTTGTATCGTGATTGTCCATGCAAGCATTTTTCTAAGTAGAAAGAAACTTCCAACAATAAGAAATGCGTTAGAATATATAGTAAGTAAATGTTACGCATGAGACATATTGGACACTATGAGGAACATATTAGTCATTGATGTGTACATAAATATATCAGTATGTATTTTTTAGAAGATTTATTAAGTACACATCTTCTTAATATACATCGAATATGTAAAAAGTTACTTATAATGTCTATTCCTCAATACAAGTATATTAAATCAATTTAAAAAAGTACGTAACTTAATGAAATAGATGAACAAATATCATCATTGGGGGCATGTAACTTCCACTTAGGAGTCTCTCAACGCACATTCATGATTGTGGCTAACTTAGATGGCTATGGTTTGAATAGATAATTGCAATTTCTTCAAATATTGGTTTCTCTCAACCAATACTACCGAAACAATCATTGAGATCATTTGTTTATGTATTCAAGAGTGGATAAGAATGTCATATAAGATAAATTTGACATAACATATGATGTTGTGGATCATGGTAAGAGATATCGATGAATTAGTAGATAACTGATGAGATATGTCTCGGTCCTTACACTTTTTATTGGTTTTGTCAATGTCAGTATTTTGTAAACTAGAAAAAATATCCGCAACGAACAAATGTGTTACAAAGTATGATGAATAAATATTATACACGAGACATATTAGGACTGTGCATACTATAGTATTAGTAATTGATGTATACATTGAACGTGTCCATCGGCGCTTTAAGAACAGTATTGTGAGTACACATTTTTCACTCATGTCGAATATGTATATAGTTACTTATAAAATCTATTTATTAATAAGAGTACATGAAATTGTGTCCGAAGTATTTAAGTTACTTAAATGAGGAATATATGTCATCATTAGGAGTATGTTATTCAAATTTAGAAGTTTCTCCACACTCAATCATAAATTTTTGCACAACGAAGTATATTTCTTAATTCTGTATGTAAGTACCTCTAATACCAAAGGTCATACTTATAGAGAACTACATATGTCATTTGTTAAATTAGAAACTACAATGATCCTTAAAAGTTTTGACAAAATATAATATCAATAACTTATTACCCCCAATTTGGCAACCATATGCTTCTAACCTCAACTGTCCTCAATTCATGCATAAAAAATAACATACAAACCCGATAAATAATATTAGACGGCCTCTGCAGCGTCTCCTGATAAAATGTTCACAACAACTTTTGTTCGACATATTTTGACATTGTTGAATTCGGTAGTTCATCTGCTAAGTTGATAAGTTTTCGTGTTGTATAAAGCGTAACTCTAAAAAAATATGCATAGTAGTAACCCACAATCATGTCTCTCACCTTGGACCTGACAATATTTAAAACAAAGACATAAGTCTGCAAAAATATATTCAACACCGATTTAATTTTATAACATAATTATATGGGTATATAAATTTCTTATAGAAGGATGTCAATTGGAAACCAGAGCACGCTATATACTATTTTTTGTAACAAAAAATGTTTGGAAGCATTAACGCACACTAGTAAAAACAATTAGAATTTTTATAAATCGATAAAATAAATGCATAAACAACCAACAATATGATAGATATATCAACAAACATCTTCAATACTTTAAAAAGTCACTTCACATGAGATATTGACACAAATGGTATTTGAAAAAAAAAAAAAAAAAAATTGAACTCCACCCACCTCATATCGCAACCACTTTATGACAAAATTAAACCTAATAAGATAAAAATGAAGTTAATTCTATATACAATAAGGTTACTTACACTTTAAAATACATCAAAATAATCTATATTTAAAATGATGGTAGATTTTGATTTCGAAGTAAGCTCAATTGGCACCTAAGTTTGTACAAACCATATAGAGGCACATGATAAAGATATAAGAGTATATCACGAACTCGAAATCACAAAACTCAAATATCGATTTTACCAAATGCAAAAAAATTTAACTTAGTTTTTGAACTTCGTTTGGGAGATGAAACCCTTTTCGATATTTTAAGCAGACTGGTTATTTTTATTTTATCCTCTCGATTAGTCTTTGATTAAAAAAAAAAAAAAACTTCTAATACAGTAGCGGTGATGATTTTAAGGATGGTGGTCGGAGGAGACGGTTTGACAATGAGAGGAGAAAGCTTTATGAAGAAAATAAGTGATTGGGATCGTGTATACTTTTTAGGTTCAGTTGTTTTTGTGTGTTATTTTTTTAACCGATTACAATATATAAATAGTAAACTAAAGTACATTACATTGCAATTAAATTTGTATAATACGACAATTTTAGAGTACGTAAGTATAGAATGTAAGTTTACGTAAACTCAACGGGATTATATAATATATTTGTTATATACACTCGTTATTCTAAGGGCAAAATAGATAGTAGGGAGCTATCTGTAAATACTTTACAAAAGTAGAAAGTGCAGTGTCTTAAAATAACATGTAGGGACTAAACTTAAATGTATTTTATCTGACAAAAATTTAAATTAAAGTGGCGCCTTTAAAAAAACTAATTTTTAATTTTTAATTACTTAATTATAATTAAATTAAATAATTATTTTAATATTAATTTATAATCAATTTTATTATTATATAATTATTGTTATTAACATATTTTTTAATTATTTAGCACAATACACTTTACACACGATTTTGAAAGTATTAAAATACTCCCTCCCTCCCATTTCAATTTCTATTTTGTTTTTATTAGTTCCACTTAAATTGACACGTTTCTATTTTTAGTAAAATTTACTAAATATACACATAATAAATATAAATCAATTTAATTAACTTAATAACATATATACATCGCGTAACCCATTCAAAAAATTTTTATTTCTATTTCTCTCCTCAATAAACAAATATTTTTATCTACATAATAAATATATATTTTTATTTATTTGTATTATTTAAAATTTTTTATGCAAAATAATAATCATATTACATATATTTTAAGTTATTGAGATATAATATTTAAAATATGTAAACATATATTCTAAATTTATTTTAATCAATTACAACTACCAATAATATATTACTTATATAAAAATATAATAAAATAATACTCTCTCTTTCCTTAATGTATGTATTTGTTTGTTTTTTTAAGGAGTTTTAGAAATATTAGTATTATATTGAGATCGTAGTACGAATAAAGTAGAAAATGCTAAAATAATCTTATTAGTATTGTGTGATATAAAAGTAATAAAATATATTTGTATAATATATTGTAAGTTATAAGACTATATATTTTTAGTGTTAGTAGAAAGTATTATAATTTAATATTATTAACTAATTAAAAAAGAAATTAGGGATTATTATAAATAGAAGCAAACACACCTAGATACAGACTTTTTCCTTCCCCCTGCAACTTGCACCTAAATTTCCACTTTTTAAAATCCTCTTTCCCTCTCTCTCTCTCTTCCACCGGAAACCTAACATGTTCCCACCCCCTTCTTCCTCCCAACCTCCGACGCACGGCGGCGCCGCCCTCACGCGCTACTCCTCGGCCCCCAGCGCTCTCCTCTCCACCGCCACCGCCGCCGCTGGATCAACCGCTCGCGAGCTTTCCGCCGCCGCCGGTTTCCAAACACACCTTCCTTCCTCTACCGCCCTCTTCTTCCCCTCCGAAATTAATACTTCCGACTCCATGGAGGTCGCCGGCATAAACGACGCCGGAAAGTCGAAAAATAGCTCAGCCAGCGCCGCCTCTTCCTTCCTCGGCGGCGGCGGCGGCGATTTCTCCTCGTCGTCGCCTCTGGTCCGCCGCAACAGCTCCCCGCCGGAATTAATCAATCAGCTCGCAACCGCCGCTCGGAATGACAATCACGGTACGCAATACAATACACACATACATCTCTATCGAATTTTCAATTTCAGTTTTCCGATTTCTGATTAATGCCAATTGTCGCTGCTTGTTCGTTTTGAATTTCACCTGCACATACACATACGCATTAATTTATGTATACACGTACATATACGTATATTTCTCCACTTGACGTAGAACACTGTGTATATATATATATGGAAAAATTATTCATATCTTCCTTGTAGTTTCGAAACTCAATATAAATTTTTTTTATTTAAAAATTTTCATGGAGCCCTTTATTATTTTAAAAAAGTGTTGCATAAATAATTTTACTTAAAAAAATTGCACGCCCTATTATACTTTAAAAAATATTGTATGAAACTTCCGGCATGCAAAAAAATATGGATGGAAAATCATCATCCGATCACATAACAGAAGTTTCATTTTGGTAGAGTTTCATGCAATATTTTTTAAAATATAAGAGAGTGTCATACAAATTTTTTAAAATATAGAGAAATTTTACACAATTTTGAAACCACATGGAAGTTACGAGTAATTTTACCTTTATATATACTCCTCCGTCCGCCTCTAAGGATCAATTTACTTTTTGCTACTTAACATTAAAAATATTTATATATTCGTATAATTTTTTTTGGTATAAATGATAATTATAAGTATTAATAAAAGTATTTTTACAATTTTTTCTTATACTATATTTTGATATAATAATTAATATTTAAATATCAATATGCAAAAAGTAAATAAAATCCTTAGAGCCGGACGAAAATAGTATGTCATATAACATAAGTATTGAATAGTACGTAGGTCCCTTTCAATGACACGCAAATGTTTTTTTCTCACAAGTCATATATACTTGCATTAGTATTGCATTTTAGGTAATTACGTACAATTAGACATTAATTACCATTAATGCTTAATTTAATCCACCATGCATCTTCTTCTTCCCCTTCTTCATTGCATCACAATCACTTATTCTTTTTGTTTTACCAACAAAAACCACAGCTACTTTCTTTATCACATAATTTCTATGTTCAAACGTGTTACATAATTTATATGTACATAATTTGATGTAATTAAAATCAAATTGAAGCTGCCTGACCATAAATAATTTTTTTTTATATTTAATGTAATTTTTTTTTTTTTTTTGTAAGTGTTTGATTTAATAAATAGTACTCCCTCCATCCAAACAATTAGTATACATTTACCTTTGGCGCGAAATTTAAGAAATAATAGTATTTTAATTATAGTGGGTATATAAAAGTAGTGTAATGATATTTTTGTCCTTATTTTTTTGGTATAAAAATAACGATGTGATATAAAGTAGGATCTTTGTGGAAAATAGTGAGGTATTTAATGAAATGGTTACTTTGTAATTGAACGTCCCAAAATAAAAATATGTATACTTTGTAGCGGGACGGAGAGGGTATATTGTAGATAAATAGTATTATAGCTTTAAAAAATATATAAACAGAGTCTTAACTAAGTTAATAATTTCCAAATTGTGAAAATTAAAGTTTGTTTTCTTTTATACCATCTTAATAATAATAATAATAATAATAATAATAATAATAATAATAATAATAATGACTTTTATAAATATATATTAGCTTTTAATATATATTTACTTTTCAAAAGTATTATAAAAACACTTGTGATGTGCTTCGTAGCTTTATTTCAACGTGTTTTTTTCTATTGTAAAATTTATTTAATATGTACTGTCATTAAGTATTGAAAATTCTTTTAAATATTACTTTTTACTCGATGCGCATTTTTAAATAGTGACTGTGAATTCTACTGTCATAAAATATTGCATTAATTTTTCTTACAAGAAAATTGTAATATTATATAGTAAAAAGATTAGAAAAAATAAAAATAATAGTTAACACACAACATAGTACTACAAATATTTACATGTAGTTGTACAAATTAAATTATGAGTAGTATATTATGAATCTAATATTTATACAATTCCATTTACTTTGATAAATAGAAGAACAATATATATATTTAATCTATTTAATAAAATAAAACAGATTAATAAATTGAATTAATTTAAATGCAATTATTTTGTTTCCCCCTTAATGACTAGCTAAATATTAATCATGTCTTCAAAGTTCAAAATATCAGTACAAATTTACGATTATGCCCCTAGACACGACTATAATAGTCTAATTAAATTATATATTTGAATTAATTTTGGGCGTGCCAAGTTGGAAATAAAAAAATTGGCCGAAAAGGGGCTCGCCCACAGATGATCGGGGGCTGAATTAAATGGACGGTCCAGATTTGACATGGGAATATTCCAAAGGGAATCTTTTAATTAATTAATTAAATTACTTCGTCAAATTGGTAAGGTGCGTTGCATTCGGCCAATAGCTGTGGACGTCACGTGCCTTGCAAGTGGCTTCCAAAACCGTCAGTTAGCCCATTGTTTCCCAAACCTAATCCCACATAATAATTTATTTATGTTCAAAATTCTTTACATATAAGTCATTTTTTAACACTTTTTTTTTTATTTTTTAATAACAAATTTAAATTTCAACTGTAACAATCAATAGCGATGCACATTGACAAAATTAGCATCTAAATTCAGGAGCAAAATATTATAATTTATTTAATATTTAACTAATAAATTTAAATAAATAATAATGACAAAATTATATATGAATTTAGATAATTTTGAAGGGGCGAACAAATTGTATATAAATACATAAAAATTAATATTTTTAATACTAAAAAAATTAAAAAAAAAAATTTATTAACCATACTGGTAAATTTGTAAAAGTTACGTGCAAAAGAAACTTTATATATAATTTCGTATTATATAAAGTTTCTTTTGCACGTAACTTTTACAAATTTACGAAATTATATATAAAGTTTCTTTTGCACGTAACTTTTACAAATTTCCCAGTATGGTTAATAAAATTTTATTTTTTTTATAAAATAATATTAAAGTAAAAATTAAAATTTCAAAGATATATGATTTAAAAGTAACATGATACTTTCATTACAAAAAAGTTTTTATTTGTAGAATTTTGAACTTTTTTTTAAAAAATCTCATTATTTTAAATTCAATTTTCTATTTTTTTTAACCATATATGAATTTTATGTGATTTTAAAATTCAAATTTCATTAAATCTTATTAAATCCTTTAATCAAACGGCCCTAAATAAATTAGAATTGTAATGTGCATATTTATAGTAAAGAAAAAAAATTAATATATGTTCAGGTTTTGATTCATTATTAATCACACAAACTGAAAACTTCGTTCATGATATATAAATGTTTTCTATATATTTTTTAACTTTTTATTAATTTTCTTGAAATAATTATAAAAAAAAAAAAATCTTGAATATACAGTACCGACTGAATAATAATCCTTCTCTCATTCAAATATATACTCACTTTTCTTTTTGAGTTATCATCGAAAAAATTCTCATTTCCTTTTTAAATAGAAAACCATTCCACTTTTGTATTGTTTTATACTATTAAAAAAAAAATTAACAATTATTACTCACTTTTATTAAAATTTGTACCCGATCAAATAAGCACACATTTGCATGAAAGATGAAGTAATAATAATAACTGTTTATCCACGCATGTCTACAATAGCGTACAAACTTGCCGTGTTAGTTTAATTAAGCTGAAATCAAATATATTGCATAAATTATATTATTTTATTTTATTTTTGTTAGTATAAATGCATAAATATTTCATGTTTTATTTATTGCATAAAATTTGTCTATGCTAAATTGAACTCATAATATTATTGTAGTTCAAAATTGATGTTTAGATGTAAATACACACTTAATTATTATACAAATTTTATATAAATAGAAGATATAAAATATTTTAAACAGTTCTATTTAAATATAAAATAAATATGTTATAGTTTTTTTTTTGTAAAAATTAGATAATAGACCGTCTCAAAAAAATATTCAATGAATGCTTGATCATTTATTTATTTATTTTATTAAAAAAATTATTTACAATATTTTATCCTTTTTAGTTATATAAAAGATAAAATTATACATAACTCCCTTATGGTTTCGAAACTAAGCGTAAATTTTACTTTTACTTTAAAAATTGTGTGGCGTTTCTTATACTTTAAAGAATGTTCTATAAAATCTCTTTATGGTTTCAAAACTTAGTATAAATTCTCACTTTTACTTTTAAAATTGTATTGTGTCCCTTTATACTTTAAAAATATTGCATGAAACCTCCATCATGCAAAATATATAGATAGGAAATTATTTCCTTCTAACACAAGAGAAGTTTCACGGTGGTAGGGCTTTATGCAATATTTTTCAAAGTATAAGAGAGTGCTATGCAATTTTTAAACTATAGAAAAATTTTACGCTGAATTTTGAAATTACAGGAGAGTTACGAGCAATTTCACATATATAAAATATGCATAATTTGATGTGTGTTTAGAATCAAATATCATATTTAGACAAAAAGAATATTTTGTGCATATTGTTTAATTTAGCACAGAAGATTTATGAAATAAATAAAACATAAAGTTACTAAAACACAATATAGTGTTATATAATTTATCTAAATATATTTATATGGCTTTTTGGATAATTGATCCTCGACAAATTATATATATATATATATTTGAGAAAGTAAAATAGATATATGCTTTAAATTCATGTTAATATAGAGAATTGGCAAAATCTCTATCATATTGACATTTTGTGCACAAATACAAAGATTCAATAAACAATTTTGACAATTACAAATGTTTGTTCACTTGGTATTTTTTACTAGACAATTTTTATAAATATTATTAAAAAATAAAATACATACATATTAATATAACATATATATAACATATACTTTATATATTTATAAAAAAAAATTAACAATTTAATACAAAATATTATTTTTTATATTATCAATACAATTCTTCATACATAGTATTAAAAATACATTCATCTAAAAATACAAAGTGAACAAACACAAAATTTATACGGAATCTTTAATGCATATGCGTGAAACAAAAGTTTGCGAAATCAATCTAATTCTCCCAAACAAACTATCTTAGATTTATCATGTCTAAAGCAATATTTGTACTCTATATAGATATATATATATATATAATTATACACACATATATATAAATACATATTTGATTTTAGTGATATTGATTCGACTAAATCAACACATTAGTAAAAGTTTTCATTTACTACAACATATATTGTATTATTTGAAAATATGTGATGCAGTTCATATTTGTAAGTGTGTTGTAGGAATATTTTTTTATGTTGGAAATCAATGTAACATTTGTTGTCAGGTTATATGTTTTATTTGTATTATGTTAATATAAATTGTGTATTATCTATCATTATATTATGTTATATACGGTATTGAATTATACTGTAACCGCCACCTATATATAAATACATATCTATTTTTTGTAATAAAAATTAAGATTTGATGTATAACAGGATATTCGACAATAATTAGAGACATGGAAAGAGCCAACCGCAATCACATTGAATCCGGAATGAACCAAGGGGTCAATTTTATTACACAACATGAAACTTTTTCTCACAATCCGAAAGAAACCAACACCAATTATAGAAAATCGAAAGATTCTTATATCGATGCAAGCATTGGAGTAAGGGCGTGGGAAAACACCAATCCAATAACATTTTCAATGGTACAAAGCAAGCATGACGATCATAGTAGTCTAAACTCCATGGAATCTCAGGTATTATCTCAAAACACACGCAACGTTATTCAAGTTATCATTAAAATAAGAAACAGTTTTTATGCAATTTGATATCAATATATACTTCTTTGAATTCAAATCGGTGCATAATAATCACTCTATTTAACAATTTTAATTTTTTCTTTTCTTAATCATAGTTTGAAGCTATTTCTTCTTGAAAGCAAAACATAAGAAAAGACGTTTGAAATTTATGGAACTCTAATTTATTTTTCTATGTTTTTATAATAATAAAATTTAGAATTGAAATGACGGGTTGATATAACATAAGGACGTAATAAAAAAATAATTTACGAATGTAATATATTAAGGAAATGAGTTTTGATTTTTAAGGAAAGTTTTCTTATACAAGATTAATCTTAATTATGTTGAAACACTATAATATATCCAATAATTTACAGCTTTGTACAATAAATTTATACGTAAATTTTACATTAATTGTGTCTTAATAACAAGAATAAAATTGTGAATTAGTGCTTTTTTAGGATCAAAATATATTTGTACAAATTTACAAGTGTATATTAGATTATATATATATATATATATATAAGGTACAATTTTGATCTCTCCTGTTCATTCTTATGTCAATTGGGTCTTTTATTTTTAAATTGACGGATTTTGAAATCTATCATATCCATCAAATTAGTTTAATTTAGTTGTTAATTACTATTTTTAAAAATAAAATAATGTAATTGTAATTCTTAATTGACAAATTGTTTAACGTGAAAAATTACCAAAGTGACTAAAATTAAATTTACATTATAATAATTATTATATATTATGTCTCTATCATTTAAAAAAAAAAACGATCTACTTTCTTGTTTGCTAATAATAATAATAATAATAATAATAATAATAATAATAATAATAATAAATTTTCTTTAGTTTTAGCAAAAAAATCACACATTTTTTATTATTTTTTTATTTTTCTTATTATAAAAAGAGTTAGTAATAACAATAATTGAATTAGATTGATATTCAAGAGATCAAAACGATCAATTTTAAAATAGAAAATTCAAATATGACAAATGAGTGAATAAAATGGACAAAAACTATTCTCTATAGGAAAAAGTAGTTGTGATAATGGTGTCAAATTAATACAATTATAATAGCAGTGCCAAATTACCTAAGGCTCCATTTGGTTGGATTATTTGGATTTTATGGTCGATTTAAATGAAGGATTTGAAATATTTCATAATTAAAATGTATCATTGGATTGAATGAAATATTTGAAAAAATACAGTATAAATAATATTTGTAATGTTACATAAAGTTAATTTGAAATTCACAATCTAACTTTATAGACTTCAAATACATACATCACATTTTTCATATAAAATTAATAAATTTAATTAAATCATTTGAAATATCTTTTGACCCAAATCTTCAACCAAATAAACCTAAAATTATGAAACAAATACAGAAAGGGAATAGCTATAATAAAATGCAAAATTGTCAAAATTTAAGACAAATAATAATACAATTGATTCATGATAAGTTTTCAATAGTGACTATAAGTGACACCATGTACGTATGTACGATAAAACAAAATATATCAAGTTGTCCCATAAGCCTCGGCCGAACTAGTGTAGTATAGTGATCGGTTATCAAAAAATCACTTGTTTGAATTCTATCAACGTTTTTTTCGATCGAACTTGTCATCCAAAGCTTCTTTAGGATAGCTGAACTAACTAATGCGGTCCATGTTATAAAAATATTTGTCAAGTTAGATCATCTACACTTGAGATGTATTCCCAAAATATTAGACATAAGAACTTGCTCTAGCGATCAAGAAGATTTCAAACAACATTGTTATGAGAAAACTTAGGAAAATAAAGAAAAATGCAACAATGACACAAAATCACAAGAATTCGGTTACCAAGTTCCACCAGGATGATATACGTCTTGGGGCGCTGTTAAACCATAAATTTTACTATAGAATACGCAGATACATGTTAAAGTGAAAATACATGGATATATATAACCTAGCAAACCCTAAAACCATGCCAATCATATATCTAAATTTAGGATATAATATCCAATCATATCTAAAGCATATCCTAGATTTCAATAAATAATCAGACTTCATATCCCAACAATCTCCTACTTGAAGATTGATTTCATCTCTCACATTCACATTTTACTTCATCAGCAATAACAACATCAAGCCCCCTTCTTAACTCATCAAGGCCAAATGAGGTTGAACACAACTTCAATTCATCTAAGGTTACTATCTTAGGTTGTCTTTCAAAATTGCTTATAAATCGGCTTACTACTCATACTGCACGTGATTTTCACTTCCTAAAGGTATCAAAAACATCATATTTACGCTTAAGAAAATATACACATACCTGTCTTGTAGCGTCGTCAACACGGTGTAGTACTGTGAGCTTCCAAGGGTTGATACAGGAGCTGGTCTCCAAAAGTTCGTATGGACCAACTCCAACTTTTCCTTTTCTAGGTCTCTCTCACCCTTTGAAAATGCCACCTTTTGTTGTTTTCCAAAAATACAGCCCTCTCATACTCCTATATCGACGTACTTAAGACCTAGCAATCTTCCTTTGAAAACGAGCTCTTTTATCCCATTTTCATTCATGTGTCCAAGATGAGAATGTCATTAATTTGTGTCATTATTTATGGCCACGAAACCTATTCCGTCTCGCATGCCTTTCGTCATGTAGAGAATTCGATCTATTATCTCTTAAGCCACCACAATAGATCCTTTGGTTATCTTCCACGACCTAGTTTCAGAAATTATCGTGTAACCTGTCTTATCCAATTGTCCCGCATAAATCATATTCCATTTCAGACCTGGGACAAGCCTCACGTGTTTCAGTCTCCACTTCTCACTATTCGGTAGTCTGATTCGAACCATCCTTTTACCTACAATTTCCAGTAGCTCGTCATCTGCAAGATAGACAACACCAAAATTACCTGCGGTATAGGATTCCATGATTTCTGAATCACTCATGACTGCATGAGTGGAATGAGGCTCCTGAGTCCAAGACTGCTGAGGCTCAGAATTAGCACATCGGAGATCTCCTCCGCTGCGTTTTCCGAAAACCTTATCATTTTCTGCTCACTTTGCACCACCTATCACAAAGGGACCCGCTGTCTAACTCAAAAATTGCATTATTATTCATAATAAATATATAAGCCCATAAATAGATTTGACATATAAACTCGATAAACTCAAATCATAACAACCTAACCTAATAGATAAAATCAAATCTAAAATAACTAAATTTAATCTAGAACTAAATAATTAAAATATCTCTAAAAAGCAACATGCTCCTCAAAATCAAGTTGTGTCACGGAAACAACTTAAGTTTGCAAAAAGAAATCGAAGATAACATAGTCACAACCATCCACCGTGTCAGAATCAGAAATAGTGCTCTCAACTAATAGAAACAACAAAACTCTCATTGGAGTCGGAAAAAACGGGACTTTTACTAGAGTCAAGAAACAACAGGACTCTCAACGGAGTCGAAAACGATGAGACTCTTAACGCAATTGGAAGCAGTGCTGTGCTCTTTATTGAATCGCAACAAACGACGGGCCAAACTCGGACACAAAACTAATGAAAAATAAAATTTACGGATGATCAATTGCAAACGGAACTCAAAATCAAAAGACCTTCGTTGATACCGTAAAATCAAAAACAAAAACAAAAATAAAAAAAAAAAAAATCTTAAATTTTGAAGACTTTCGAATACATTCTACGTTAAAAATAACTACATATAATCTAAAACTAAAATATCTCTAAGAAGCAACATAACCCCTAATTCTATTTTTAAACTCCATGCTTATTATCAACTTCACAATCCAACATAAATATACATTATCGTCAATTATTATCATATGTTTGTAAGAAAAGGAAAAGTACAGTCATATAGAATCTTTATAATCAAATATTGGCCTTTCTCACCTACTCATTCATATATATATATATATATATATATATTTGACTTGTTCACTCAAATATTTCGATTATAAATGAGACCACACATAATGTAATATTGACTCTTTAAATTACATAATTAATAGATGCGTTATGACCTTGAGAGGTCTACTTGATTGATTTTTTTTTTTTTATAAAATTAATTATTATATTCACATTTTTTTAAATAAAAATATATTATTTTTTTTATAAAATATTAAATTACTGTTAAAATAAACTCAAAACACCAAAAAATCGTGTGAATAGAATGGTCTAGATTAGAGCTTTTTGTGTATCAAGAATTTTAATTTTCAAATATTTTCATGCATCTTTGAGAATTACAATGATAGTGAAAGTATAGGACAAAAAAGAATATTTGAGCTTACTTATCGATAAGGATTGCAATTCATTCTAATTCTTCCTACAATTATATATCCTTAATTATTGATTAAGGTACTCATTTAGAAAAGATGTAGTAGCTAAAATTTACCTTAAATTAGAATATCATGCATTGGCATACTAAAGTAAGAAATTAGCTTTTAGCAAAGTCAATCACCTAATATGATATTAAGACTAAATTAATATTATTTTTTTTATGACGTGGGAATCCGCAGCTGCTACTCGAGAGTGCGCACCGGGTAAACCCCTGGTCGAACCTAATACCCTGCAAACTAGATTTTCTTGACCACCAAATGTGCTCGTGTGGATGTAATTATATACATATATTTTTAAAAAAAAAAAAAGAAGAAAGACAAAATTAACATTAACCCTAATCTCGATTTTCTTGACTACCAAATGTGCTCATGTGGCTGTAATTATATATTTTTTAAAAAAATACTAAATTAACATTAATTTAGTAAAAGTAAATATACACGCCAATATAAATTTTTAAAAATAAAATTACAGACACACGAGCACATTTGGTAGTCAATAAAATTGAGATACTCACTCTAATCCCAATTGTGTGTTCATAGGATGAGACCTCTTCATTCGATTCCGAGGCCTTCCTTTCTTCAACTATGTTGGTCATGAATAATAGGAGAGTAATGCATAATGTTTGGTTAATCAATTGTATATTTATACACTGATGGCTGAAGTTGTCAATTAAAGATAACATCGAATGTAAGAAAGACAAACTCTATACACGCAAACGAAATATAGGGATTTTTCAGAGATGACTAACACTCGGAATTTAACTTAGAAAAATATGAATTTAATCATATGTTTGTGCTAATTATCAATCTTGTTAATTTTATAATATTTTCTTAATACCTTTTAATTATATACCATGCAAAAATTATTATTATTATTATTATTATTATGCAAGGTATAAGGGCAAAGTACAACTGAGAAATATATTGGATAATAATGATAATTGATACAAATATACGACTAAAATTGCATTTTATATATATATATATATAACCATCTACTCATAAAGGGTGTGTTCATTTTGTTTTTTTAAATGAATGTAATTTTTATGTTAGATATGAAAAATTATGTTGGTAATATAAAAATTAATGTTTTATATTAAATTGTTGACTCTTGTGAGTGCATAAAATATGTATATTATATATATTGTATTAATATATGTATATCTTGTATTTTAAAAAAAAATTACGGGGAAGCGTTTCACGGAAAAACACAAAATGAACAAACCCAAAATTTCTAGTATTTCTTGTAGGTTCATTTCTTACAATTATAGCTCTTCATTAAGCTTCATAATATGTCATGTTTTTGAATAAAATTTTAGGGTCTACTTATTTTATGTTTTCAATTGTTTTATAGGTTTTGGTTTATTTGAGGACTAATATAAATTCATATGAGAAAATAATGTTTTCATGTGATGTTTTGAATTGAAAATAGATTTTACCTATTCAATGAAAATTAGGTATTTACTATAATATTTTTTAGTAATAAAATAAAATAAAATAGCTTTGCCTTTAAACAAAAGGGGGTATGAAAAGAGAAGCAAGTATTCACCTTAGTTGAATGCTTTGCTGAGTGAGCACATAAATGTATCACAATTTCTTTTATGCAACTTTACAGATTTATCCCTCATTCGACGAAGAATCTTAGTTATTCATCGAATAAGATATGCATACAGCAAGTTTCATCCATTCAAGTTATTTAAAATTTATCGATTCTTCTCTTCTTGTTTTAATTTGATCCTCTTTTGTTGCGAGCAGTTTCAGTTCAGCTTGGGAATGCCATCAATGGAGAATCTTGTGAATGTCCCGAAAGACTCGATTCCCTGCAAGATTCGGGCAAAGCGTGGTTGTGCGACACATCCTCGTAGCATTGCTGAAAGGGTAGGGTTAAAACTCTCCCTTATCTCATCCATAAGTTATCTTACTTCGACTAAATTTAATTTATTATCTAAGTGGAACTTCTATTAAAAAAGAAAGAACATCACATCTAGGTTTTATACATTTGGCGCGATTAGGATTAGGTATTGGGTTAAATATTTGCAGCATATATGCATGCACCTTAAAGAATAAGAAACAAAAAAAACTTTTAATTTATCTAGGATTTTCGGGTTTTAGGATTTTTTTATGTGATGTTTTGAATAGTAAATAGATTGTAGATGTAATATTTTTTTTTAGTGAAAAGGAGATGTTTTCCATAATATTTTTCAAAATACAAACAATCAAACCCCAGATTTTCAACGATTCTTGTGGGCTTAAATAAGGTAGGATTTGTAGATTCAAAGCAACAAATGCATGCACACATTAAAGGAAAATTAAATAAAAAGATATATATATATATATATTATACCATATGGTAAAACTAGCAAAATTTTTAGGGTTTGTTTGTTTTGTGAGATTTTGGAAAAGAAATTTTTTTGATGTGAGGTCAGGAAATTGTGTATGAAATATAAAAATAAAAAATGTGTAATATATTAATTTTTTTAAAAAAAATGTGGAATCAAAATTTGAAAGAACAAAGCCTTAGAATATATTTACATAGTTAATTGTGTGAGTTTATTATAAAATTGCAGGAAAGAAGGACAAGAATAAGTGGAAAGTTGAAGAAATTGCATGATCTTGTTCCAAATATGGATAAGGTATTTTTAACATTCTCTTGAATATATATATATATATATATATTTTATCCGTCTTCAATTTTATACTCAATCAAACATGTGTTCGCACATTTTAACAAGAATAGGTAATAATTAGTAATTTTATTTTTTATAGTAAAAAAGATACCATCTTTTACTAAAATAGAGAAATAAGAATTTTTTTATTATTGTCTAAAAATAAAATAAGCATACATTTGAATGACGTAATATATGAATGTGATCTTCACTTATGTGCACTCCAATATTAGTTCTAGGTGATCATAACTATATTCCACGAGATTGCAAATTTTTTTATATAAGATGTATTTGGTTTTAAATTTTTATCTAAAATAGTGATTTTTGGTGATATTTTACCAAATAAAATAATATTTCTTCCGTCATACAAATATGTGTTTATTTGACCGGGCACGAGTTTGAATAAAAGTAAGTAATAATAGTTAATTTTTCCTTTTATAGTAAAAAAAAATACAAAAATGTAATAATTTTTTACTTAAAAAGGAAACGAGAATATTTTTCAATGATAACCCAAAAAAAAAAGTAAGCATAGATTTGAATTACGGAATGAGTACAATATTTTTATAAAGGATCACGAGACTTGCATATCTGTATATACCATATCTTAAAAATAAAAAATAAAAAATAAAAAACAAAGTCATAGATAGAAATTTTCCATAAAGGAAAATATGTAAGAATAAGGAAAGGTAGATAAAGGATAAAGAAAATTTAGCTAGACAATGATGTATATTTGTTTGGTTATGATTTCAGATTAATTTGAAATGACCCCTTGATTTGAGTTTTTATTTAAATAATATTTTGTTGTAATATTTTGTAAGAAAAAATAATGTATTTTTCAATTGAAAATGTACGGAATGAATAACGTTGATTTCAATTTGAAATCACAAAAAAAAAAAACACACACACTTAAAGTTCTACTCCCTTAATTGGTCTCATAACAAAGTATCCATTTTTCTATTTTAGTATGTCCATAACAAAGTATCCATTTCATTTTCTTAAAATATCTGTACTATTTACCTATCGTTACAAATATCTTTATAATTTACAATATATTATACAAATGTCATTACATTTATATCACACAATACTAATAAGGTTATTTTAGTCGTTTCTACTTTATTCCTACTGCATCCCAATATAATATTAATATTTCTAAAACTCCGTGAAAAAAGGAAATGGATACATAGTTATGAGACGGAGGGAAGTATTTAAATTTATTAAACTAAGAAAATAAAATCATCAAGTAATCATATTACATACTAATAAATGAAAGTGAAATAGAAAGTTTCAATAGATTTTGAAGTGTCTTGGTTAATTGCAGCAAACAAGCTATGCAGACATGCTGGAGTTAGCAGTAAAACATATAACTACTCTTCAAAACAAGGTTCAGGTCAGTGCCCCAATTTTAATTTCACTCCTTATCATCTCTTCAATTTATTTTTTAACTATATTTTTTAATAATATAAAAATTTATATGTGGAATTGTAGAATTTTGATTTTGGTAGCATTTTTACTTATTTACTACTCCATCCATCCGTCCGCCTCTAAAGGTCACATTTACTTTTTGTGTTATTATACTTGACGTTAAAAATATTCCTATATTTGTATAATTTTTTATACAAATGTCGTTCTATCAGTATTATAAGACACAAATTGAAGTATTTTTGCAAATTTTTCTTAATTTGTACTGCGTTTTAATATAATAATTCATATTCAAAAATCAACACGCAAAAAATAAATAAGATCTTTAGAACCGGACGGAGGTAGTAGTATTTTATTTTCTTTCTTTTCTCAAATATCATCAAATCAAATATATTTATTTTATTTTTTATATTATATTAGAAATTAATTTTGCATTTAAAGTATCAAATCAATATTTATTTATAGAACTATAACCATATTCAAAATTTTTTATGATTAAAATTCAAATTTTCAACCAAACACATCTATAGTATATATATATATATATATATAAAAGAGAAGTTATTGTTAGATTGGATAGGGTACTCTTTTTTGTTTCATTTTAATTTTACATAGGTTTTGTTTAAATAAGAGTTTTATGGATTTTGAAAATAATATAATAAGTTAGGTATTTGATTGAATATTTTATAAAAATAAATAGATGTTTGATTTTTTTATTATTTTAAAAACATTTGTCATTAATGAACAATGTCAAATTTTAAAATATATATTGGTTAATAAAGACATAATTATTATTTTTTATTTAATTATTTAATTATTATTATTAGTATTAGTATTATACAATAAAATTAAGGGTGACTATAAATACTTTGTAGTTCTAACATACATACTTGTGTAGAATCACCTACATAAAGTTATTGCCTAATTTATCACTATATATTGAATTGTTAACTATTTCTTGTGAGTAAATGAATATATGTTATATGTATGTGTTAATATGTGTTTGTGTCATTTTTTTGTAATATTTATCGAAAATTGTATCACCTATAAAAATTGTTGGATGTACAAACCCTATGTTATTATATTACGCTAAAATAGCAACAACAAAAAAAATTATAGTTTTCAAAATCTGTTGAAATGCCCCTGGTTCTAAAATTATGTTTTACCTCAAATAATGTTGCAAAAAATATCATCTTCATTAGTACTTAACGTAAATTGTAACATATGTGCTTAAACTGCAATTATTATTACAAAATCATATACTTCATAACATAAAAAAATATTTCTTCTTCAAAACAAGTATAGAAATCTTTGAATTATCGTTCACAATGTCTTCTCTTATTAGCTATAATTTTTTTAATAGTACTCAAAGTTCAAATGCGTCTTCTACGATTTCCGTTAAATATTAACGGATGGAGTATTTTTTGCAACATTATCTGAACTACAAGTAGATAAAACGGAGATGATCTTTTCAACAAAATTTGCAATCCACATATAAATATTTTGCTATTTTGCCTTATATTAAAAGTATAAATTATGCATATTTCAATTTATGTTAAAATTCGTAAAGGATACTCTTATATATATATATATAGGGAGGGAATTACATTAGGGTTTGGGGGGTCAATTTTTTATGATTTTTTTAGTATTAAAATTTTTAATTTTTTATGTATTTATATACAATTTGCCTCCTCAAAACTATCTAAATTCATATATAATTTTGTCATTATATTTATTTAAATTTATTAGCTAAATATTAAATAAATTATAATATTTTGCCCCTCCGAATTTAGATGCTAGTTTCGTCACTATATATATGTATATACATATATGATGTTATGCTTTTTAAGAATTGTATAGGTGAATTTATCTTAAATTGATTTTTTTTCCAGAGACTGAAAGACGAAATTGAATGTTGTACGTGTGGATGCAGCAATTTATGACAGTTAGTTCATAGAGACTGTAATATTTTATGTGTATCAAATTAATAATATTGTATGCATTAATCGAATTCAAGCATATAAATGTATAAATACATTTATATATATGCATATGTTATGTATTTTTGGATTCGAAATGTTTTGGAGAATGTACCGTGTACGTATGTATGCAAATAGGCATGTAAGAACATTTCGACTCTTCTAAATTGCGGGATTTTTTTTATAATATTTGTTTAGGCAAATTTTTGGAAATTTTTGAAATTTTAAAATTTTAAAAATAGTAAAAGAACAGTATTTTATTTGATGTTTTATAAAAATATATATACATAGTTTGTGATACTTTTAAAAAGTTAAATAGTATCAAGTATTCAAAGTTGTTAGATAATCATAGCAGAATAATAATATCGATAAATAGTCTGCATAGGGAATTGTTAAAAAATGAGTTTGTTTTTATTTGTGGTTTAATGTTGTATTTTAATTTTTTTATTATTTAAAATTAAATAGTAATTTAAATGTCATGTTTTTTAAAATAAAATAATATATGTTTATAAAAAAAATTGTGAGAATTATATAATAATGTAAAAAATAAAATTAAACTCTAAATAAATTGAATTATACTTTAGGATCGGTTTGATTCAACAGGAAGAGAGACCGGAGAGATTTTAATGGAGAATGAGAGGCAAAGGAAAAAATAGAATAATAAAATTATAATAGAATATTTGATTAGAAGAAAAAAAATTAAAAAGAAAAAGAGAAGGGAAATAAATGGAAATTAATATTATTTGTATTTGGTTAGAGAGATGGTGAAAAAAATTATAATAATTTTAATATTATAACCTTATAATATATAAATAAAATAAGCTATAATTGGGTCCCGGATGGCCGGGTGGTGTAGGGGTTGGACTTGTGATCCTGAGGTCATGGGTTCAGTTCGACTAGTGTGTCTTTTCCGTCGGACCTGATTTGCAAGGTATTAGGTTCGGCCGGGGGTTTACCCAGTGCGCACTTTCGAAAAATTGATACCGTAGTCCGGTCGGGCAATCTGGAAGCCTCCCAAAGATCCATTTCTCAATCCATCTCCGGAAAAAAATCGACGTAAGGTTGATATTCATGTTCGATTAGTGATCTCCAATTTTTGTTCAATTACTCCATTGATTGATCAATTTTGGTGAAGGAATTCAATCTTGGTAAACTTGGTGATGGAGTTTGTATGTTGGGGTTGGTGATCATAATGGAATTCTAGCTCCAGCTTGGCTCCAGGTGTTCTTCACGAAAACAAACCTATTGTTTGTTCTCTATTAACTATTTCAATTCGAAAATTTACTATTCAAATTTCAACTCAAAATCCGAATGCCCAAACAAACACGTAACACACCTTCAATATTTAACACAAAATTTTAATTTTTTTACATTAAAATTGTACTAAACAAACATATATTGTTGGATTTTTGTTCCTGGTTCGACCCGACTCGATCCAACCATGCCCAAACGGACTCATATACTGCCAACCCGACCCGGTGAGTTCAAAATTGGATTTAAAATCTCGCTCAAAATCGATTTCTCCTGTTATCTACCTATCTGATCGCCGTGATAAAACATAACGAATCCCTTTTCTAGGGCGCTAATTCATAAGTGGTTTGTTCCTATCCCATTATTCTTGCACCATGTTGGTTTAGCTTCCTTTATTCTCGTGGTTCTTTATCAAATTTCTTCTTTGCTATATATATTGGTGGGTTCGCTGGTTTTGGGTGAGAGCCGAGAGGTAGAGATTAGTCGCTTAGTGTCGATTCTTTGTGTTCTCCTTTACTTGCTCGCCGGAGTTCTGCCGGTTCTCCTTCCCTTTATGTTCCTTTTGTTTCTTGTGGGATTACGGTTTCCTTGGTGTCGAAACACTAGACTCCTATGTGGTGTTGTCTCGTTAAAAAGCTTGGAATTGGCGCAAGGTGTGATGTGATTTGAGCCTAGCTACCGGAATTTTCTCATAATTTGTTTGATTATCGCAATATTTTACTTCCTTTCAATTATTATAGGGTAAACTGTTTTTTTTTTAAGTAATTGGACTCCCTTATCATTTTAGTCTTGTAAGTGAGTTTGTCGCAAACTAATCCAATAAGTGAAAATTTTTCGCTATTTTAGTCCTCCGGCGCCGGAGATTCCCACGTGGCTCGCCGGAGGCCACGTGTCCGCCAGGTCAGCGACACCGGACACGTGGATTTTTTTTTTTTTTCATTTTTCTTAATTTTTAAATTTTTTTTAAAAAATTATATTTAATTTTATTTGCCTTTTTAAATTTTTTTAATTTGGTCCAATTAAAAATAAAATAAAATTTACATGTCCGCCAGGTGTCGCTGACTTGGCGGGACACCTGGCGGACACGTGGCCTCCGGCGAACCACGCGGGCGTCTCCGACACCGGAGGACTAAAACAACGAAAATTTTCAATTTATGGGATTAATTTGCGACAAACTCTACTTACGGAATTAATATAAGGGTGTTCAATTGCGAAACTAAAAAATAATTTTTCCATTATTATATTATTCTTATTAATTGGTACTAATAATAGTCTTGTCTTAGTCTCGATATTAGGGGAATAAATTCCTAACATATATATTTTCTATTAAAATATCACAATTAGTAGTATTGCTTTAGAGCTATTGCCGTCATTTGTCTGAGTCATAAATGGGAATAAATTCCTAATATAAATTTTTTCTATTTAAATATCACAATTAATAAATAGGAAATAGTTTTGGAAAGTCCATGGACCCGAACACCAGATGGACCCACGCCGTTTTGATTTGTGGAACCCATTGAGACCACGCATGGATCCTTGGGCTCCATTTAATTATGGTATTTTACTTTTCTTGTCTCCAGATATCATTTTATTTATCCACTAAATTAATTGAATACAAAATTAAAAAAATATATATAAATGTGTTTGTCCAGTAATCTCAATTTTGAGTTTGAATTTTAGATAATAAAAAAGAATTTTGAATTTTAATAATTATTTAGCGTGACATATAATGATTTTTGATAAAATATTGTGAAAGGAAAATTAACTTTTAGTATTATATAAAAATAATAATAATAACTTAATTTGATATTTTTTAAATAAATAAATAAATAATAAAAATTTTTAAGAAATCTTCAAACAAATATTTCCTCCATTGCTTCCTCCCGGGTCAGATGACCCATTTGGCGAGGGATACGGTATTTTAGATAGTAAAAATAAGTAATTTATTAATAATAAATGATAAATTATAATATCATTATATTAATTTTTATATGAGAAGCGTTGTTGATATTTTAAATATTTTTAACATTATATTTTAATAAAAATATATATAATATGGATATTATTTTTTAAAGAATAAAATTTTATATAATACAAATAAATAAAAAATATTTATTTATTTATCATTATATCATAAATTAGTTTTATAAAAAAAAAAAATAGAGAGCTTTAAAGGTAGATAAAAATATTTGTTAATCGAAGAAAAATAAAAATAAAAAATTTTTTGAGTGGGACCTTTGTAAGAGGTTAAAAATGTAATTAAATTAATTTATATTTATTAAATGTATTTTAAGATTAATAGTTTTCCAAAAATGGAAAAGAATTATCTTTTGTGGAACGGACAAAAATAAAAAATGAATTATCTGTGGTAGGACGGATGGAGTACAATAATATAACTCTTTTACTACAATTAAATACTTCATCGATCTCATATCAATTGTTATACTCATTTCGTCTCAATTCAAAACATTTTTTTTCACCATTTTTGTCTGTCTCGTTCAAAAATATTTTTTCCTAATTTAGTAAAAATAATCATATATTAATACCAAAATATCTTTAAATTATAAGAATATCATTGCATATAGTGTTGGTGTGTTTCAGCGTCGACCCACACCCAAACCCAGATCCGACCTGACCCGGTCCGACCCGAACCAGAACCAACCCGATTTGTTTTTTATCTCCTTAAATCAGAACCGATCTCTCCCCCATTCTGTTCGATCTTTTGAATCATTCTCTCATCCGTTTCATCATTCACGATGCTATCCCTATTTCTTCGAAATTGATCGAGTCCGCCTGGGTGTTGATAAGGTAAGGTTGTTCCCAACTCTTTTGGGTTCTATCCATCCATCCCTCATCTATATATATGGGATGGGATTTTGGGAGAAGAGTGTGACGAGTTCGCTATTCTGTTCTGTTATATGAGCGTCGAACCTACTGCCTTAGCCTATCGACTTCTCTCGTTACTTTTCCGTCCTGATACTGCATGTGCGAGGAACACTATGGGGTTCTTGAGTTACTTCGTGTTAGGAACCACCGCAATCGACACCTTTGCGGGTTACCTCGTAGGATGACTTGGAGTTGGCGAATGAGTGGCTGCGATCTGAGCCTATTTTACTGATTGTTCAATTTTTCTTTCAATTCTTAATATATATTTTGTATTATATTCTTAACCATCGAGTTTTATCTGCACTAATTATTTGGCTGAGAATCTGTGCAGATCACCCAACGTTCAGGAAGATCGAGAATCCCAACATTGGTATCAGAGCAAGGTTAAAAGTTGAACGCGGGTTGAATTTGCAATCCTAGGTGCAAACAGAAATTGGTAAAATTTGCCCTAATCGGTAACGGATGGCTAACCCTTGAACTTCTATGTGTTAGATAATATTTGGGTATTCGTGATTGTTTATATATGATTAATTGTGTGAATTATTCGTTAATATGTCGTCTTTTTCTTCTTTCAATATTGCACCATTCGATGGAAAAATTGATTTTTCGATTTGGTAACAAAAAAATTGAAAGGACTTTTAATAACTCAAAAAGTTTCCAAAGCAATTGATGGTGATTATAATGCGTTATTGACGGAAGAGAGAAAGACTAAAATAGATTAATGTGCTTATTCTCTGATTATCTTGAACTTATCTGATTATGTGATTAGAAAGGTAGGAAAACTTGATTCTACGAAAGAATTGTGGGAAAGATTAGAAGAGCTTTACATGGAAAAGTCTTTGTCAAACAAACTATTTTTACTTGAAAATTTTTTCCGTTTTAAACTTGATTTGAATCGAAACGTTGATGAAAATTTAGATGTTTTTACAAAGTTAGTTCAAGATATAAAACAAACAGGCAATAAGAATATTGATGAATATACCCCTATTATTCTTTTGAATGCAATTCCTGACTCTTATTCAAATGTTAAG